TCACATTTGAATCGGATACCCAGGTGGCCTGGGTCGCATTCGAAATTATTAATTCTTATCTGAATAGAAGTGTTTCTATTCGTCTTAAATCGGCCATTTGGAAAATATTCAGATTAGTAACTCAACACTTTGCCAATGTGAAAACCATCATGTGGTTGGTTCATGTATGATGATGCTCTGTGAATTAATGACTTCCTTTTCCCAAAAATATATTGTAAAGTGAGAGATCCAAGGCAGGTTGTTCTGATTTTCACAAATCAGGAAATTTCTAGTAGAAAAATCGACTTTTTGACTAGACTTGTCTATATCTGCAGTGAAAGTAGCAGTAAAAATTTTTAAAACAAGCAGAACTGTTATAAGAAAAACTTATTCATTTTAAGACATAACACACATTATTGTTTATTTTTTTTCTTTTTTCAAATCAGCAGCAACATTTGGACGATTAATGGATTCTTTTGACCAAACTCTGAAGATTCAGCTGTATGATATCAATTAACTGTTCTGTATTTGTCCCCCCCTGTAATCTTTGTACTGAAACAGTGGCATGCTTTATCTCGGGAAGAGCAAGCTAAGTATTATGAGTTAGCCCGCAAGGAACGGCAGCTCCACATGCAGCTCTACCCCGGCTGGTCCGCTCGAGACAACTATGTAAGTATCAACAGAACAGACTGGCAGCGGTGCGCGTGCTTGCATTCATGTTGTTTCTATGTCTGTTGTGTGATTTAGTCTTTCAAAGGCGCACATTAATTCACAGGAGCCTTCTCCGTGTTAATGGGGCCCGTCTGCGGAGCCTTTGTTTCTGCATAATGTGTAATTCATAACACTGTTATGGTGCCATCCACACAGAGATGGATGTTAGGATCACGGTGATTATTATTGTCACTGAGAGTGAAAATTGCCTTGTAATGGTGATGCTGGTCTTTGATGTGCCGCATCGGCGTAGAGCTTCAGATATAAAAGCAGCTGTCAGAGCGAGCCGAGGAGGCCGGATTGTTCCTCCCAGAGTTCACCTCTGCTCCCCCCAGCTGCGCATTGTGTTTCTGAATGCGCGCAATCAGAAAGGTTTAGGACGTACAGAGGTTTTTAGAATATTCTCCTATTCAAAAGTACAGTAGCCGAGAGGAACAAATGTGCAGCAAAATGCCTGCAAACTCATGAATGATGCAAACTCCAAAACGCACAAATACAAAAATGGAAAAATGCTGCAACCAAACAGACAATGCTGCAAATAGCTCCACAAAAACACAGGTCCTCCAGACCACTAGGTGTTTTCTGTTGTATGTGTATTTCTGTTTTTTTGGGAGTTTGGTTCATTCAAGTGCTTTGCAGAGCGTTTACACCTGTATGCTTTGCGACTGCACCTGTTGACAACAGTTCAGAAGTATTGAGGAGTTTGTTGTATTCAGGCAGCCAAACCTCCTTGGTCAATAGCTCTCCGAGGTTTGAGAAAGTCTGTTAACAGCTTTCTGTGACATTTTGAGACAAGTGGAGCACATAAAAAGGAGCAGGGATGGGCACCAACAAATTAGCTTATTCTATAATCTGGTGTGGCACCTCAAATGGCTTTTATATTTGAGCGCCATATTGTTCCTTTTAAATAAAGTGTATTATATTAACTAAATAGTTAGTTGCGCTAATCCTGAAGTTCTAACAACAATCATTAGTTCTGCTCATGGTAAAGTGCTAAATCAACATGGTATTTAATGGAAGCTAATGCTAAAGCGCTAACAGCTTAAATTCAGATTGTATATTCTTGAAAGACTCCGACCCTCGAGCAACAATTTAACTGACCTGAACGTTATGCGCTGTTATTCCAGACGTGTGTAGTTTCATACAAAATGTTGAAATATATGCTGAATTAGCCGAGCCTTTTAAAGTTAGCAACAAATGCTAAAGGAAAAGTTATCTATAAGTTTTGCGGTTTAGCGAAAATGAGTCTTCCTTTAAAAATGGAGTGCTGAACACTGGAGTAAGAAGCTGCCCAAGTCCAAAGAAAACCTTTAAAAAAGACTTTCAGAAATCCTGGAGAACAATTGTTCAAGAAAACCTGACAGCTTGGAGTCGAACAGTAAAGAGTTTAAATGTGATTTCAAACTTTAGCACTTTAGGAGTGTGTATCCAAAGCTGTCCTCGTGTGTGTGTTTGTGTGTGTGAATGTGACGTGTGATATTTTTTCTGAGAGAGAGCACCAGCTTTTATTAAAAGTGTGGCTCCGGCACTCACCTTCACTCCACCACCGAAGTGCTTTGTGGTGTTTACCTGCCTCCCCTCGGACATCGACAGCGCCCCCTGCTTTGTGCCGCCGCCGCTCCGCTGCCGACCCGCTGCTCTGAGAGCGACCCAGCCGCAGCATCAGCTGCTGCTCTAGCTTTCCTAGGAGAAGTCGATGGTCTTTCTGTTAGTCACGTCAGAGAGATAAGAGCCTGACTCATTCTTTGCGTGAATCACCAGCTGTTGACTGGAAGCATGTCTTGCCTGGAAACCCCACACAGTTCAGGCGTGCTGCACCTCTCTCATCCCTCCTTTCACCCACACTCGCTCGGTCTATCCTCCTCGCCGCCTGCCGCAGCGGCAGAAGGCAGATTAGCTCATGAATAAGTGGATTAGCAGACTTTGCAGCTGGAAACCAAAGTGCTTCTCATATTTGAGTAGAACGACTCTTCTCTGCTATCTATACCTTTAGTCCCCCCCCTTTGGGGATTTAGCTGAAGCTATAAATCCTCACATGTCCTTACTGGAAGGAGAGTGCTGCTCTCTGCAGAGGATACTGCTCCAGTTTTAGAGAATATTTTAATTGCTCTTATTGTTTCTCATCTTCACGATGTCAGACGTAGACAGAACAGTTTAACATGCACTGCAAAAACACACACCAGCTGCGTTGCCATTAACCATAAAATGGAGCAACTTGAAATAAATTTGTTCAATGGAAATGTTAAAAAAACAAACACGTTTTTCAATTAAGTTTTTTCAGGCATATCAAAACACGCTTTTAGCATCACGCGAGTCATGTGATCCACAACCAGATGTTAGTGCTGACGGAAACAACAAAGAAGACGACAGGAAGTAGTAGGAGGATGATGGTTTGTTTTGGGGTTTTCAGTCAAGGTGCAGCTCACATCATCACAGTTCATGAAAAGTTATGTATTATTCCAGCGTGATGATTCTATAGCTCATCTGTAAAATCACCCCTAAAACGCTGCATACGTAGCCACGCCCTGTGGGCGGGGCTTGTCACTGACTAAGACACCAATGTCTCCTCTGATTGGCTGAAAGATGAGCGTTAGCGCCACGGCTCAATTATGAATACGTCTCATTACCTGTTTACAACAAGCTTATTCACGCATGATTTTAAACAGTAATTGCAAAAATGTGTTCTTTTGACATTAGCAGAATATTGACAAAGATTTGCGAACAGCTAGTTTTACCAAGTATTTTTAGTTCTGGTGCAAATATCCGGCCGTCCAAACAGCGTTAGCTTTTTGCCTTGGAGCTACTTGCTAGCCTACAGACAATACTCTCACAATGCTACAAAATATGTGAAGAAACATCGACTTTTAGACATTTTTTTTCTCTTTCATTCTCAATTTTATAATTATTGCATTTGTTTAACATAAATGCTGCCTCTGCTTTTAGCTGGTCATGAATTCTTGGGGTTTTCCACTGCGGTGTGGCTGCTGGACGGTTCCTTCTGCCCCTTTCCTGTCAGAAACGTTTCCATGGGTGCTTGCTACACTAGCTTGAGGAGCAAAGCAGCTTAAATTTGACTGGCAGCCATTCAGAAAGGACGGTGTACCAGATAAATGGGCCCAATTTTCAAAATTTTGGGAGATCGGTGGCCAAAACGTTTATATCGGCCAAAATCTGAATCAGCAGTTCGAGCTTCTTAAAGATCGTCTATCATCCAGGAAACTGCAATCGAAGCACTGCTATCAGAAAGACGAGCACGACAAATAACATTTCAATAAGTTAATTTAACTTAAGTTTGATAATAAGTAACAGATTATATGATAAAAAAATCTATGCAATTGAAAATCTGGTTAAATTTTTTTTTTTTTACTTTCTGAGGCTCCACTTTGGAAAACGCTTTTAGTAGAGTCGAAATAAGACCAAACTAACTTACAAGTAGCTTTTCAGCAAGTCAGATTTTTAATATTGATGAAAAAGTTTTAGTTCCACTGGCAGATTATTTCACTTAAAACAAGGGAAAAATTTAACATGTTACAGGTGACATAATGAGCCAGTGGAACTAGAAATTTTTTTTAATCAATATTAAGGAATTAAAACCAGCTCCTATATCTTGCTGAGGTTCTCTGTAATTTAGTTTGGTCTTATTTAAACTGATTTCTGCACTAAACTGGACCGATGATCCCGGGTAAGGTTTAGTGTTTTTGCAGCGTGTCTGGCTGTGCAGAGAAAACGACACTCGGTTGCTGGGTTCCTCTCAGGGTTGCGGGTTGCGGTGGAGTGCGGAGGCCGGGGTTTCGCTGCTCGGCTGCCCAGCAGGGGATGAGTGAACATGGCAGTCAGCAGCAGGATATCCGAGTGGTCTAGTGAGCGTGAGTGCTGGAGCCACACTTTATGCGTTCCTCTGTATATTTTTAGGGGAAGAAGAAGAAGCGGAAGAGGGAGAAGATGCAGGAAACGGCCACAGGTGAGTGCTGCTGCAGCTTCTGTGTGGTTTTTGCATTTAGGAGTTTGGGATTAATAATCTGCTACGGTGTTTTGCTGCATAATTATTTCCCATTAAAAACGGGACTAAATGCAAATGAAAGTAGAGCCAAACGTGATCCAAATTCATCACCCATCAGCGTTCTGACCCGACTTGTTTTTGTTTTTTTTGTACCCTGAGCATCCCCTAATCCATTCATTCTTTATCCTGCCACAGCCTCCACATATTACACCTACTTTGGGATTAGTCTGTCCTTTTCTTCGGAGTACTTACAGATTCTGGGCTTTGCACTATTTTTCTGCACCACAGTATGTCTCTCTGCTGACCTTGTTTATCTGCGCTTTTCAAGCCCTCCTCTTAGCTCTGCAGCTGTAATCCACTGAGAATTACACCTTAGGTTAAATGTCAGTATTTTCATGGTCTGTGTAAGTCCACTTGGACGGTTAGCGTCCAGTTACGTTAAGAAAAACAACAAACTGTTAAAAAAGATGCAATTTTCTGCAGGTACAGGCCAGAGAATGAAAACGGCGTACATCTGAGAATATGGTAAGACCACCTCTATGCCCTCCCTGTCTGGTTAATATTTGTCAAGTTTCCTTTTTAAACTGTTAAACACCGACTTGAGAGCTTGCGCTCGCAGACTAATCCTAAACAGGTCCACCATAACCTCACCATGGCCATTGTGTAGCGGTCTATGCTAACCCAAACGGTGTCGAATGCCTGCATGTGTGTGTTTTCTGTTCTGCTGTGTATAAAATGTCTGAACCATACAGGTTTTGACCAGATTTGACTCTCAAGCATTTTTTTTTTTAGTTGTCTGTGAATGCAACATTGCAAAGCCCATAATTCATGCTAGCTTACTGAATTATCTCTGCAGAAAGGTACTGGACCAGGTACCAGCTTTACCTGTCCTAAGTTTTGGGAAGAAAATGTGAATGTTTTTGTACAGGTTTTGCTTAATTCTTGCTCTGTCAGTCTTGTTCTTCAGCAAATTGCCTTTTTTTGAGTCTATAACAATTAATTTATTAATTTATTTGAATTATTTCAATAATTAATTCATCACGATTAATAGGATTAATCGTTTCAGCCCTACATGGTATTTTTTAGGTACGGTGAGTTCACAGATCAGAAAAAGATTGAATTTCTGAGTTTCAGTGATCAGTTTCAGGGATGATCAAGGGGAGACTTAGCAACCAAGTATTGATTCGGATCACAGTCTAGTTTAATTGAACCAGATCTTGGTCAAACCCAGACTGGCAGGTCAGAAAGCTGCTCTCGGTGCGTCTCGTCCTGACAGGAGCTGGATTATGTTATTTTGCTGCTGGTGGAGGCTTGGTGTCCATATGGACTGCATATGTCGCCTTTGTAAAGCAGAACAGGTTGGATGAAGCAGGACCTTAATGAGATGCTTCGGCTTAATAAGATTTCATGGCTTCTGGGGTCTCTGGGTGTTTGAAAAGCTCTCATAACGCAGGCAGCCATTTTTTTTTAACACGCTAAAGTTGCGTGGAGCTTTAGATTCAGATGTTTCAGTTTGTATCAAAGGCAGCAGTATTTTTCCTCACTGGGAGGATCCCGTTATTCCGCTTCCAGAAAAATCCGGGCTGACGTGACAAGTCGGTCCAACGACTCAAAGGTTTTCCACTTGATCGATTCTTGACCCAACGGGGCTCTCTGAACCCAAAATTAGGCCGCTCTGCTTTTTCCTTTTGTCTCCCGTTTTTATATAAACAGCCGGTTTTCAAAGAGCCGTCAGCACAAGCGCAAAAAAGCCACTTCATCTCTGATCCAATAATTAGCAGCGCCTAGCCGCGGCGGGATGGACACCCCGGCTGATTCTCAGTGACAGCCTTAAACTAATATGCATAATACCGGGGATACTGCCACAACTCCCCAAGCCCTCAATTTATGCAGATCCCAGAGAGCTGGATTGAGGTTCGCCTGCTGTAGATGCCAAAAACATCTTTAAATGAACTCGTTTGTCTGTTTCTTTTCATCCGTCCCATCTGTCTCTCTCTCTGTTTGAACAGTCGAGGAGAAACGTTGTTGTTACTTTAATTGATTCTTCAATTAAGCTCCCGACATTTTCTTTCTTTATTACAGTCAAAGATTGAGACGAAAATGTGCAAGTTGAGTTTAGAGAAATGAAACACTTCCAGAGTGTTTTGTTTTGCTCCCATGCAGCCCGATCAATAGGCCTGTCTCATTAAGCAATAAATAAATTGATCGCCTGAAAAGTTAAAACAAACTCAGTTTAATGTTTTCCTCTCTTTCTACCAGAAACTGGACGACAAAAGTCTTCAGTCTGGCGTTGTGGGCTCAACTAGACCCTTTTTTTTTTTCATAATTACTTTCATTTGTTGTTTTATTTATTTTGGATTTTAAAATGTTTTCGAATTCCAGTATTAAATATTCATTAGAATTTAAAGGTTATTGATCTTTGAGAATACATTCTGGGATTATTATGCCATTATCATTATATCACTTGAAAACAATATTATCATTTATCGAAACACTTTCTGGGACAATTTATCCTGCAGGCAAATTTGTTATGTTGACTACTCGTCAATAGTTAGAGGTTTTTCAAGGTTTTTCTTTGAACTTTAAATGTTTTTGTTCTTGAAGGTGGAGATTTTGTGCAATGCTAGCTTTAAAAGTGGTTTGTCTCTATATTACATAAATGAAAACTAAGAACTGTTTTCAATAAATAAGCGCATCAACATGCAGCTTGATGCACTTTTGATTTGAATATAGCTCTGATAACCGCTACTGATTTGATTCATAATCTGGGATAATCTTCTAATTTCTCAATTTTTCTTGCATTAATAACCACAAATAACCTGCAGCATATTCTTATTCTTTCTGTCAATGTGTCTCCATTTAAAAGTGTAGAAATTGCTGCTCATACTCTCCAGCTCCTAAACCCTCCGTGTCTTAACAACATTATGAACCTGATGTGGAACGTGTTGGAAATTGCCCAGGGCGGCATTAAATCGGGGGCTACACAAGTAAATAACCTTTCTATTTGTGCCCCGAGTAAGTTTTCTATTGCTTATATGCATGCAGCAGTCAGTGGGGAGTTGGCACCTCATATGTAGAGTAGATGTTCCCCACTCAGAGAATAGACTGAGTGTGTTACCTACTTTCTTTATATATTTATAATTCCCAATTTAATCTCAAAATTCCCACTTTAATCTTAGAATCCTGACTTTTTCTTAAACCAAAATGTGACTTTAATCTAACAATTCCTGTTTTAATCTCAGAATTCCCACTTTAATGCAGCTTGGTACTTGAAGGAGAATTAACTTTCTTGAGGAAGGAAGGATGTTAGATTTAAGTGATTTTTTTTATTAATTTCTTTTTATCCAGCTGATTAAAGTCAGAATCTGTATTTTTTTCAGTGGCTCTAATCCTCTTCCATATAAGTCCCGTTTTAGGACTAGAAAAAGTGACTGCTGGGAAAGAACTCCTTGATTTTTTGGAATATCTTCATGTTTTCTGGTCTCTGCTGTGTTTTTTCTCTCTCAGACTGTTTTTTATGCCTCAACGTTTCATTTTCTCATGATGACCCGGTTTCTCTGTCACCTTGTTTTCTCTCTCTGGAATCCGTTCCTCCACGCTGTTAGCCTTTTGTCTGAGTCAGCCGCTGATTCACAGCCTCTGCGATAGTTATCTGCACGCCCTGCAGGCTTTCCCCCTCATTTCAGCTGCTGCTCACTTTATCACACTCACACACCTAACAAAGCCGGCTTTTTAGAGCACCAAGCACTGCAAAAACACAAAACCTTACCAAGTATTTTGGTCTAGTTTCTAGTGTAGATATCTTAAGACACTTGAAAAAAGACAAAACTAACTTACAAGTAACATTTCAGAAGCATACAGGAGCTTATTTTAGGTAAATAATTCCTTAATACTGATTAAAAAAAAGCTTTTGTTCCACCAGCAGATTATTTCACTTGTAACAAGACATTTTTCCCATGTTATAAGTGAAATAATCTTGTAATAACTTTTTAAATAAATAATAATGAATTTTTAACGTAAGCTCTGAAAAGTTGTTGAAAAGTTACTTGTAAGTTTGTTTTATCTTATTCCAAGTGTATTCAGGCATGTGTAATAGAAACTAGACCAAAAATACTTGGACAGATTTTGTGTTGTTGCAGTGTGACTTTTCCAGCAGCCATTGTATAGCTCATACACCAGTAAACCTGCTGGGGTTGCTAGGTAACGGCGCAGTGCCTGCTGATTTGTGACGTTTCATTCTGGAGGTTTTTGAAACGGCTCATTTTCCAGACATCAAAAACCAGCTGGGTGATTCTTTTTTCTAAGTGCTTCGGTTGTTTTTAGTACCTTTTTATTAATATTAAGGAATTATTTACTTAAACCAAACTCCTATATCTTGGTGAAAAGTTACTTATAAGTTCTTTTGACATATTTCAAGTGAGTAAGAAACTAGACAAAAATACTTGGCAAAGTTTATTGTTTTTGCAGTGCGGAGCTGCAGGAGTTGTGATTCTTCACTTGTTTTCAGTTTCATCCAGGATGTTTAAAAAAAAAAAAAAAAGACAGAAAAAATCTCTGCAATTAACGGCCAGTTTTCCTGCTCCGGAAAATATAATGAAAGTGTTGTTCTGGCTTCAGCGGCACCTCCCCTCCGCTCCGTCGTTGTCTGATGTGAGCAGCCAGAAGTCAGCTGTCAAATGTCTTTGATGAGAAAAGAGGAAGACGGAGGCGAGCGTGTGTTCAGAGAAACTGGCCAAAAGGAAAACAGAAAATCTCAGAGTTCAGCCCCTCATCCTCTGCTCCCCCGTTGCCAAATTTTGTCCTGTTATTTGTTTCCTCTCATCGTTTTTCTCTCAGAACCTCATCCCAACACACGCACACATGCACACACACTCTCCAGCTGCAATTAGGCGATTTTTGGCGTCTGCCGTTTGAATCTGACGCTGAGCCTCTGGGCCGCGGCGGCACAGCCCAGTGCCTCC